CCGGTCCCCACCGTGCATCACCGCTCACCACCACCGCTTACCACCGCTTACCACCGCTTACCACCGCTCACCTTCCTTTGAGCTGCCGGCCATTTCCGCGTTGGACGGCAACGTCGCCATGGTCGCAACGCCACTTGGCTTCTCACTGCGCGCCGCTGCCCGAGCCGCTCCACCTGCTCGCGGCGCCACTCGCGGCGTGGCGGGCGGCGGAAGACCCTGCGACGACGCGCAGCGCGCGGAGACGAGTTCGATGCGGATGGCGGAAACGGGAAAACCGGCTGGTGACTGGCGGGCGAAGCGGGCGGGCGCGGCGACGACACTGGCGGAGGTGATGCGGGCGGCGGGGCACGTAGCGGCGGAGGAACGAGGCCTGACGGTATGGGGAAGGTATAGCTGGGGGAGAGCGAAGTGGAGGAGGCACGCGCGGGGGAGGCGGGCGGTTGTGGCGAGGGCGCGCGGGCAGGCGAGGGAGGACGACGCGATGAGGTGAGCGGCGAGGGCCATCAAGAGACGGAGGTGCGGCGGAACACGAGAGAAAGGAAGCGAGTGGCAACGGCGCGGCGGACGAGGTGATGCAACTACGAGAAAGCGCGCATGTGATGGAATCGGATGGCGAGTGGGCGTGTAAAAACGGATTGCGGAAGAGGCAAGTGCGGGAGCGAGTATGAAGGAAGTGGTCCCTCCGACTCGAGTGACAAACAGCCCGCCAAGATGTGAGCCTTCTGCGCTTTGAAAGTCTGCACGCGGGCCAGATGGTGGGACTCGTCACTTTCAAGAAAGGTGCAAGCCGATGTGCGACTGACATGCATCTCTTCTTAGATGCGTAGATGTGACATGGCGTGACGAGTCCGAATTGGTGTGGTGAGGAATGTGTTGTAACGAGGATGGTTTACTTTGGTGCGTATGACAGATGAGCCATGCTTATTGCTCGCCGGACAAATATTATCCAATTTATAACCAGGTGAGCCACCATGCAGCAAGCATAGTGTGTGCTACATCTCACCATACAAAGGAGTACTTCAATAGAACCACCCATTGAAATTTATTCCCACTGCTACACAGCTCAATCTTACTCCCTCTTGCTGAAACCCAAGTCTACTCCCACCCTCCTCTGCACCCTCTGCACCTCCTCTGCACACTCTGCAGTCCCAACTGCACCCTCCCCTGCACATTCCACTACAGCCCCCTACCCCTCCTTTCCAGTTCTAGCAGCACAAGACGGTGTCCGTCCACTCCCCCCTCCCTTACTCTCCTCCCCTCCCACCCATGAACTCAGCCCCCCCGAGCCTCGCCTCCACAGCCCCCCCACACCGCCTCCCGACCCCTTGTCCGATCCTTTGCGCCCAAACAGCCTTAGGGGACTACCCGCGGGGCTCCTGCCCGTGCCTGGCAGGTCGGCGCACGGTGCTAAGGGGCCCGAGCCTGAGGAGGTTCGGAGAGGGGAGGCCCAGCCTTGGAGCGCCTTGCTTAGGTTGCTGCTGCTGCTGCTGGTGCTGGTGGTGGTGGTGCTGGTGTTGGTGGTGGCGGTGTTGGTTGCCGCTGCTGGAATCGGGATGCTGCTGCTGCTGCCACTGCTGCTGTTGGAGAGGGGTTGTGGGAGGGTAGATAGAGACGTGTTGCTCCCACCAGCAGCACCAGCAGCGGGCGCAGCGGCGGCGACAGCACTAATGCTGCTGCTGCTGCTGGCACTGGTCTTGCTCTTGCTGCCGCCGCCCGCAGTGTTGCGGAAGGGCCAGAAGTTGGCGATGAGTTCTCATGTGGTGGGGCAGAGAAGTTTTCAGGTGGTGGGGCAGAGAAGTTTTCAGGTGGTGGGGCAGAGAAGTTCTCAGGTGATGGGGCAAGTGTGTGCTCATGTGGTGGGGCAGGTGAGTTCTCAGATGGAGCAGGTGTGTGCTGAGACGGTGGGGGGGCTGTCGTAGTAATGAGCTAGGATGCCTAGTGTAGCCACAGCCACGGCATTGCAAGTGCCACCAAGGTAGGAAGCCCGTCAGCCCTTAGCTGTCTCATTTCTGTGAAACCGAACAGTTTTTTTTCCATCTGTTTTTTTGTGAAATGTGGATATGTTGTTATATTGTGTGTGTGTTTTCTTTCTGCCCGTTTGCTTTTGGTGTACCTCTCACTCCAGTCCTTCCCATCCCATCCCATCCCATCCCATCCCATCCCATCCCATCCCATCCCATCCCACCCCATCCCATCCCATCCCATCCCATCCCATCCCACCCCATCCCATCCCATCCCATCCCATCCCATCCCATCCCATCCCATGCCATCCCATCCCATCCCATCCCATCCCATCCCATCCCACCCCATCCCATCCCATCCCATCCCACCCCATCCCATCCCATCCCATCCCATCCCATCCCATCCCATCCCATCCCATCCCATCCCATCCCATGCCATCCCATCCCATGCCATGCCATCCCATGCCATCCCATCCCATCCCATCCCATCCCATCCCACCCCATCCCACCCCATCCCATCCCACCCCATCCCATCCCATCCCATCCCATCCCATCCCATCCCATCCCATCCCATCCCATCCCATCCCATCTCATCCCATCCCATCCCATGCCATCCCATCCCATGCCATCCCATGCCATTCCATCACATCACATTCCAGTCTCCATGGCTGTTTCCTCGCCTCAGCTGCTTACATCATTCCCAAGGGTCCCGTTCTCTCCCTCTCACAATTTGCTTGCTATGTCACTTGCCATCTCACTTGCCATCTCACTTGCCATCACACTTGCCATCTCAGGTGCGATTTCAGTTGCCGTTTCAGGTGCCATTTCTGTCTCCATCTCAGTTGAACATTGCAATTGGCACCTCAGTTTCCATCTCCAATGCCATCTCTCAGTTGACGGTTTTTGGCATCTGAGTTACCGTTTGAGTTGCATTATTTGCTAACTCGCTTGCCTTTTCAGTTGAAATCCCAACTGTCATCTCAGTTTCTGTGTTGTCACCTTGGTTGCCATCTCCGCCACTTCCTCCTTGCCATCTCACTTTGTTCCGTCGCTCCTCACCAGCAGGGCAGCTGGTTACCACCAACACGCCCATGTGAATCGCTCTCTTTTTCTCTCCGAGCTCCCAAGTCCCTGCCCTCCTCTGCTTCCCTTCACTCACCACCTCGCATTCTCTCCCATGACTCTGCTGCTTCCGTTCCCTCTCCTCCTCCTAACAACATACGCCGATGCACCCATGCACCCGTTAATTTCTGGTTTTCATCAATCTGCCCATTACCTTGTTTCTGATGTGTGACCCTAAACCCATCCACCCATCCAACCATTCAATCATTCACCCATCCACCCATGCACCCATTCAATCATTCACCCATGCACCCATTCAATCATTCACCCATGCACCTATGCACCCATTCAATCATTCACCCATGCACCCATGCACCAATGCAGCAATGCATCCATGCACCCATGCACCCATGCATCCATGCACCCATGCATCCATGCATCCATGTGCTTATTCACCCACGAACCCATGTACCGTACACACTGTCCAATGCAGGCACAGGTGGAGGATAGTGCCAAGATGTTTGACACACAGCCGCGAGCTGTTCCATTCACAAGCTATCAATATACACTTCATGATCCTCTGGAAGCATCTGCTCCGAAGATCTTAGATTATGTACCAAAATCACCCGTGTGTGTTGAATTGAAGTACGGTAAATTAGTGATGATATTGTGCTCCTGCACTCTTCTTAGATAACTGCTCTCCTTTCACCCAGATGAAATAGAGAGTTCACAATGCAATTTACTTCAACATTACAAGTATTATTCTAGACATTAACATGTCCTACAATGCAATGTACATCATACCGTACTTCCTAAAAGTCATTACTTAACCCAACAGCAGCTGGGAGTTATTCCAGCACACCCTTCAGTGTTGTACCCATGTATGTGTTGGAAACAATCGATCTTAAACGCCTCTGCCGTGTCGAAACACTAAGGCACAAACGAAGCGAAGCATATCGAAGCACCGGCGATTCAACCCTCAGAGGTTGAAAGTAACTGTTGGAGGTTACGCGAAAGTCAAAGGTCAGCGACCTTTGACCTGACAAAGTACAGCGCGACAGCAAGGACACACAACTGACTCGCTACAGAGCAGTTGCCCGAGTCGTCAATGTATCGAACCGCAACAGCAACAGTAAAACAGTTATAACTGTACCCCTTCATATTCCTTGTACTCTTATATAATCTTGTACCGTATACTCCCGGACAAAACACCCCCCCATAATTGTACACCCCCGGGTAGCTTGTGCGGGGTGGGTGTTATGATAGACCTCGTTTCTACGATACCCCCCTTTTTGGCTGATTTTCTATAACACCCCCCTTTTCTTACGGATTCATTATTATAGTCGTTAACGAGTTGCTGCAATACGGAAGAATATCGTGTGAATTTCTCCCTCAATGAAATTTCGAGGTACATTCAAAGGCAATCTGCCGAGATTTGCCCCCTCCCACTATTACTCTGTTGCCACGTGCAGGTGAATCTTCCGTTGCAAGTGGCAAGAGAGGTGTCACATGGCATTTTCGTGAGGGCGATGAAGTTCGAGGCCGAAACTGACATTCGCGCCTTAGGCAGTGATGCTAAAACGACCAGCAAAACACCCACATTGACTAATTAAAAAAACACTAACACTAAAATATGCCATATGTAAAGACCCGGGTATTATGTATTTTTTTCCTATGAGGAGACCCCCCCCCCATTTTTTCCCTGTATTTTTAGCTATACCCTAGGGTGTTATGTCCGGGAGAATACGGTATCTCTCTGTTTTTAATCCATCTACTTTGCCCTCACATACTAGCGCAAGGTGGTTCAACTACTTCATTAAAGCTTCCGCTATTACATCAGTCCTACCCAGTGTTCACCCCTGCAAAGATCGTAAGGGCTATTTCTCAGCCCAACAGTATGTACAGTCCATGTTCCTATGGGATGTTCTAATGCTGAGAGCAGCCATTGCTGTGGCCAGCATGCCTATGAGGGCTCTTTCAGGAGCTCCTTCTGTGCGCCCTGCTGCTGCTGCTGTAGACAGGCCTTGGCTGCCTCTCATGCACCAAACCCTCTCTCCTCCCCGCCTGCTGCTTCACCCCCTCCCTGCCACACACGCCACTTGCCACTGCTCTGCCACCTTCTGCCTTCACACCACCCTGCCTTCCACCTGCTGCCCTCCCTGCTGCTCCCTCCCCACACCCACCCTCCTCTCTCCTCTTCACCCCACCCGCTTGTCTGCTTCTGGCATTGTTAGCTACTCTCACTGATGATGTAGCACCACGTGATCCCGCAACTGCAGATGCTGCTGCACATAGGGCAGAGCTTGCAAGCGTGTTGTTAACCTTACCACCCTTCACACCCATGCTCACCACCTTGCTGCTGCACCCATTCTTGCCCTTCGCGCTTTCACCCCCCACCTTGCACCTTGCTGCAACAGCAGGCTTTGGCTTCTGTGCTGCTGCTGCTGCTGCTGCTGCTGCTGCTTCTCTTACTGGTGATGTTGCAGCAGATGATTTCGCTGTTGTTTTAGCTGCGAGCGAGGGAGCAGCTGGAGCTGCGGACACTGCTACTGCCGCTGCTGCTGCAGATACAGGAGGCACAGTTTTGCGAGTCAGATTCGCCACAGCATTAGGATGCTTGGGCAAGAAGCAAACTCGCAGGGCGGCTTCAATGGCCACTTCAATCTCATTGGACCACGATGTCTCCTTGCTCCGCTTGTCCCACCTCAGGAAAGCAGCAGGTGTCAATGCAACATCCATCGCTTGAACCTCCTGACGCAGCTTCGACCACCTCGTTTTTTCACTCGGATCAGCAGCACGTCCATTCGCCTCCTGGGACATTGCTTCTGTTGTTACAGACGCTTCAGCCACCTGTGGTGCGGTTGAAGCCACTGGAGCCACAGGCGCTACCTCAGGCACCACCACAGGCGCAACCACAGCAGACGGTGTGACGGGAGCAGCGTTGACGACCACAGGTGCAACGGGAGCAGCAGGCTTGCCTCCGAAGCGGCCGATTCCAGGCCGCTTCACATCAGGTGCGTCAGCTACGTACGATTTGATAGGCTTACGCAGGGCGTCAGCGAGACCTTGCGAGGACGACGCATGCATGTGCTTCGCCAGTGTCTCCAGCAGCGGCCTCACGCTCTTCAGAAGCACACTGCTGCAGCAAAACTCAGCGTCGCTGGTGCAAGCAGCAGGCTTGGCAGGAGAGTATGATGCAGGCAAGAAAACGGTTTTAGGGGTTCCGAACCTGCCAATGCCTCTGGTAGGCGTTGCAGGACTGCTCGAGGTTTGAAAAGCAGAGTTAACATTGCAGTTATGAGCGTAAGAAGCCATGTTAATTTGGCTGCGAGGAGACTGTTGATAGCAGATTGCTGGAGAGAGGCTGATCGTTGAACAAATATTGATTTCTGGAAGGTTTGTTGACTGAGAATCGACAGAACGGCAGGAGAATGATGAGATACAACTGTGGCGACCAGGGCTGACGATTCAAGGGCAAATGCCCTTAATTCCCTGAACATTAAGGGTTGGGTTCGGCCCAGCTTCCGAAGTTTAAGGGTTGGATTTGAGGGCAGCCCGTCCCCGTTAAGTGCTGGTTGTGGGCCTAACCCGGATTTCAAGTGCAGATCCCGCGGCTAGCCCTAATCGTCCCATACTAATACCTCCCTCCCTTCCATTCCCTCACCAGTCCACTCGCCTCCTCCCAGCCATTCCCCTACTTTTCCCATCCCTGTCAAATCCATCGACATGTTTCGTACCTCAGCCTATTGCTTAGCTGGATCTTAGTAGTTTGCCTAAGATAACGGACCCGAAGAGATGTGGGGTTTCCTTAGCGAAAGTGCAAAAAAGTTGGTAGCCATGATTTCAAGTGCCAGGTTTGCTCTCAGCCCGTTAATTTCAGGGCAACTTTTGGGGCACCTCTGCCTCTCAAGTTCTGGCTCCAAACCAATCGACAGCCCTGGTGGCGACCCCTCTTCTACTCTACTCCGCCCTCGGCCGCTCAACCCTTCACGCCCACATTTCTCCTCTGCCTGACCATTGGAGTTCCAGCCTCGGCCTGCCTTGGCCTGATCATTCGCGTGCCACGTCACACAGATTAAACGGTGAAGAAAGCAATGACCGAGGTGTGTGGACGGATTTCAAAGCGTCTTTCTCTGGAGGTTCAGGTTCGGGAATCTCAGTGGAGCCGCGTCAGGCAAAATCATCGGAATCGGAGGTTCGGGGACATTCTCTAGGTGTCACTGCGTTTCAGGACGCGCCACCTCAAGCAATTTTGCACGAACGATGGCAGGCTCGCTGATTCAACCGCACTGAATACCTGCTAAAAGCATTTGAAACTTTCAATACCATATTAAACTTTTAAAACATTCGACCCTACGCAGGCTCGATCGCAGGCTCGGTGCTAGAGGTGCCACGTCCTCAGGCTCGTGAGACCGTCGAGCCGCGTCACCAGTTTCCCGCCACTGTTTTCGTAAAAGATTCCTAGCCGTTTCCGGGAAGCTCTTTTTATAAGAGAAGAGACACACAGCTCGCGAAAGCCTTTCGCAAAACCATCGCACATCGCCATGAAAATCGTTTCCAAGGTTTGTGCTGAGCGAACGCCATGCTCAGTTGCTAGATTCGGATCAGCAGCCATAGGGATTGACGTTTGTGTGCTTGGGTGGGAAAGAGGCTTTGAGCTATCCTCAATATGAACTAGCTGGTCGTTTCTGTTCGAAACATTATCTACATGCCAATACTATTGCGAATTTTTCTTTCCATGAAACCAATAACACCTTTACACTTAACTTGTTTACAAGAAATCTATCATACCAAATCTGTCGAACATACTGTAATAGTCGACATGCCGGTATGACATCTACGGGTGTTATTATGGGGGACTAAGGTTATGGGTATTTAGACATACAATATATCTGAAAAACAAAACACAGTGTGCACAGAATAAAAAACTTGGCAAGAAGCTGCAGCCTCCCACGCACCAAAACACAGTGTGCACGCTCATTTTGACACTCTATTTACACACAACTTAAGCAGCGTTGGCAGATGGCACAACACCTAGCGTAACTAAACATTTCCAAGTATCCCCTCATCCCACACTGGTTCAACCAGCAATCTTAGTCTTTGGCTTGCGAAGCAGATCCTCCAGGTGCAGCCCGCTGATCTTAGCTGCCAGCACAAAGTCGTTCTCATGCAGCCCACCTGCAAGGGGGGAAGGGCACATGGGCAGCATGAGCTGAGCATCCACAAGTTGATAATCAATGTAAGCCACTATTGACCACATTGTCATGTGAAGGTCCACATGTCATGTTCGCGGTCTAGGTAGGGATATACTGTAACGATGTGTTGTTAGTGTGTGAGGCGTACCGATGGCGTGCGTGTATATGTCAATGCGCACATGGTTCCATCCTTCCAAATGGAGGTCTGGGTGATGACCTGTAGTTGACATAGCATGGAGTCAACATGGCATGCAGTCAAAACGGTATGCCGGGCACACGACGTGCAGAACACAACATAAATAACAAAAAGCAGCAGGGATAAGAGACACAAGGCAAGTGCAATGGATTAGAAATAAAATCAGAGTATTCTCCACTATGCAACGCCGCACCGCACCCCATCATTCATGCCCCAGCCAGAGGTGCCAAATTCCACCCTTCATAGCAGGACACATCGATGGGCAAGAGTTTGCTGGAAATGAAGACACACTTAGGGCGTGTTCAGATTTATAGGTGCAGCACCTTTTCGTGAAAATACCGGACTGACATACGCTCCGGAATGAGCAAAAACTGGACCCCAGTTTGGGCCGGGAGAAACTGATTTGTCACAGGACAGAGCAGGTTATAGTTCAGGTTGCACCCTTGCTCATGTCTAGTTGGGGCTATGTCTAGTTGGTACAGCCATTCAAGAAGAGCGGCGAACTGCACAGTGCCTGAAAGTACACATGATCCAACCAAGCCTCCACTGTGAGACAAACTCTGTTCAAGCTCTTGTGCCACAGAGAGGAGCACCACAAGAGAGGTGGCATGTGCCAGCAGCAACACAACACCCACCTTCAGCTTCGGCGACCTGAGTGACGCGGTCAAAGAGTGTGAGGCCCGCAGAGAAGTTCCGGGTGCGTGAGCAACACCCATCTTAGGCCTCTTCAAAAACGGCGCAGCACCCACCTTCTGCCTCCGCGACCTGAGCGACGCGGTCAAAGAGAGTGAGGCCTGCGAGGAAGTTCCGGGTGCGCCACTGCCGGCGGATACGCTGGTAGCCGCCCTCCTCCACCACCTCCCACCCCGCCACCTGTCTTGCACACCGCACAGCACCGCATACGAGCAGTCACACCCCATGTAGTAGCAACGTACACGTCACATATCATGCCCAGAGATAATTCGTGGTACGATGCAGAGTGTTATGTCCCATAAACTGAAGGTAGAACGAAGTGTTGTAAAGAACACATTAAGAGGTAGGGACTTGTAAGCCACATGTTATTGCGCTCGTGCAAAGGCAATGGCAGGGAGGAGGGCATGGGGAGCAGAGCGATGGACGTGGGATGGGCATGGCAGTGAGGAAAAAGAGTGGTAACGAAGGTGATTGTGACATGTGAGAGTGGATGTCAGAGTGCATGTGAGAGTGCATGTGAGCGTGCAAGTGTGCATGTGAGAGTGTGGGCGTGCATGTGAGAGTGCATGTGAGAGTGCATGTGCGAGTGCATGTGAGTGCATGTGAGTGCACATGCATGTGAGAGTGCATGTGAGTGCATGTGAGAGTGCATGTGAGAGCATGTGGGCGTGCATGTAAGCGGGTGAACAAGTCAGCAAGCCTCACATCACATGAAATTTCATGCGCGCACCACATTCACATTCGTGCATCCTGCAAGTTATGCAAGAGACCTGAAGCTCCTAAACGTGGCAGCAGCTGTAGCAGCTGTAGTGGCGCCCACCTGGTCCAGCAGAGTGGTGATGCGGTCAGTAGGCAGTGGAAGCAGCCCCTTGCCCTCACACGGCACACAGCGCCGACTCGCCAATGGTGCTGCGCGGGGAAGGGGAAGGGGGGAAGGGCGATGGTGGCATAAGAGGAGGGAAGGAGGAGGTGAGGGGTGAGATGGAGGCAATGAAAGGAAGAAATTGGGAAAGAGGAGGGAAAGGCGTTTGAGTGGCAGCAGTATGGAGCATGCGAGTGAGGGGAAGGCTGTGCACGAGTGCAAGAGCTAAGGGAGGAGGGCAACGAGGGTTCAAGGCGAGCGAGTGGTTTCACAACACTGTTGGGCTTGGTGGGGTGTGGAGTGGTGGTTATGTTAACGGGTCGGTCACTAGCACGGGAAAGAGAGCGAACAGGAAAGAGACGAGGAGGCCGCTGGAGTGATGGGGAGAAAGCGGGAGGGGTGGAGGGGTACGAAAGGAGGAGAGAGCAGGGCGTTTCTAGTCTCAGCGTACCTCACCACCGCTTATCACTCGACAACCACTCACCATCGCTCATCACCGCTCACCACCTCATCACCGCTCACCACCTCATCACCGCTCACCTTCCTCTGAGCTGCCGGCCATCTCCGCGTTGGACGGCGACGTCGCCATGGTCGCAACGCCACGTGGCTTTTCACTGCGGCTGGTGGCGGGGCAAGCGGCGGCGGTGGAGCGCGGGCGGGCGGTGTGGGGGAAGTACGACTGGGGGAGAGTAAAGTGGGGGAGGCACGCGCGGGGGAGGCGGGCGGTGGTGGCGAGGGCACGCGGGCAGGCGAGGGAGGACGACGCGACGCGGTAAGCGGCGAGGGCCATCAAGAGACGGAGGTGGGGCGGAACGCGAGAGAAAGGGAGAGAGCGAAAGTGAGCGAGTGGGAGCTTGGACGAGGGAGCAGCGCGAGATGCGACTCCGACACAGCGTGCATGCGATGGCGTGGAAAATCGGAAATTCGGAATGCGGAGAGGCAAGTGCTGGAGAGTGTATGAATGAAGTGGTCCCTCCGATCCGAGCGACAGACAGCCCGCCAAGGAGAGTATGAATGTGGGCCTACCGCGCTTTGAAAGACCCAACACAGGCCAGATGGAATGGGACTCGTCACTTTCACGAACGCCGCAAGTCGATGTGAGTGACATGCATCTCTTCTGTGATGCGTAGATGTGACGTGGCGTGACGAATCCGAAGTGGTGTGGCGAGGAATGTGCTGTAACGGGGATGGTTTACGATGGCGCGTGTCTTCGAAACAGCGTTACGTGTAAATGAGTTGAAAAAATGGCAGCAAATTTGTTAACATGACTCGTTTCACCAACATAATCAGCTGCCAACACTTGCCATGCCATCCCTATCAGATATAGGCTATGATAGACGAGCCAGGCTATTTGATCGCCTGAAAAATCTTACCAATTTGTAACCAGGTGAGCCACCATGCAGCAAGCATACAGTAGTATGTGCTACGTCTCACCATACACTTTGAATCAAACCACCCATTAAAAATTTATTCCCACTGCTACACAGCTCAATCTTACTCCCCCTTGCTGAAACCCACGTCTACGCCCACCCTCCTCCGCACCCACTGCACCCTCCTCTGCACCTCCTCTGCACCCTCCTCTGCAGTCCCAACTGCACCTTCCCCTGCACACTCCACTACCCCCTACCCCTCCTTTCCAGGGCTAGCAGCACTAGATGGTGTCCGTCCACTCCCCCCTCCCTTACTCTCCTCCCCTCCCACCCACGAACTCAGCCCCCCCGAGCCTCGCCTCCACAGGCCCCCCACACCGCCTCCCGAACCCTCGTCCGATCCTTTGCGCCCAAACAGCCTTAGGGGACTACCCGCGGGGCTCCTGCCCGTGCCTGGCAGGTCGGCGCACGGTGCTAAGGGGCCCGAGCCTGAGGAGGTTCGGAGAGGGGAGGCCTGGCCTTGGAGCGCCTTGCTTAGGCTGCTGCTGCTGCTGGTGGTGGTGCTGGTGTTGGTGGTGGCGGTGTTGGTTGCCGCTGCTGGAATCGGGATGCTGCTGCTGCTGCCGCTGCTGCTGTTGGAGAGGGGTTGTGGGAGGGTAGATAGAGACGTGTTGCTCCCACCAGCAGCACCAGCAGCGGGCGCAGCGGCGGCGACAGCACTAATGCTGCTGCTGCTACTGCTGGCACTGGTCTTGCTCTTGCTGCTGCCGCCAGCAGTGTTGCGGAAGGGCCAGAAGTTGACGATGCGCTCGAAGACAGTGCCCTTGAGGAAGAGGCCGGAGAAGCCCTGTGGCTGCACGGGCGGCGGGAAGTCCTCGGGCGGCATGGCGAAGGGATGCAGCATGCGGTCCATACGGCGCATGGTGAGCGTGTCGGGCGCGTCGTTCTGCACCGTGAAGGGCGGGAGCACTGGTAGCGTGTGGTCCTTCTTTGCTGGCTCCACCTGGAGTTGTGGGGAGAGCATGACGGAGAGGAGAGAGAGGGGTTGGATGAAATGTGCTGCGGTGCATCGGACTCGTCATCCTTTTTTTATGAACCCACCTGCTGCGGTGGAGGAGGATGGATGCAAACAGTAAGAGGCGTGGAACGAACTGTGTTGTGTGTGGTATTGGCATCATCTTATCTTCCCCAACATTGGGAGCCCATGCAGGACGGATGGTGGGGGTGCAAAGGGATGGGGAGGAAGAGCATGAGATGGTGAGGCAACAGAGGAGGGTAGGGGGAGAGACGTTGCGGTGTCAGACGATCCAAGCGGCATGGTGATGGCATGTCTCACCTCGAGAGGGCTCACAGCTGACCCCGGGCTGAACATGATCTCCACTCGGAATCGCCGCGGGTTGTTCAGATCCACCTGATGAGTCATGGTGGGTGCAGGTGATGTGGTTGGTATGGAGGGGGGACGGGGCGAGGGGTGGAGCGAGAGGAATGGATAAGGACCGGCCAGCAGCAGAGCAGATGAGGAAGATGTGAGTGAGAAGGGGGGAACGGGACACATGGGCGGAATGCACGAGTGGTGAAAGGGCGTGCAGCGTTGCATACCTCCACGTTCTCGTACATGCGCAGCACCACATGAGTGAGGTAGTCGAGCTCGCGCGTCTCATAGAGGCGAGTCATGGCGTCGGGACTCAGCAGGGACGCCTCGCCCTGCAGTGAGTCGTCCAGCTGGCAGAAGCGCAGCACGTTCATCACACTGTGTAGGTGCGACTCCTGTTGGGGGTGGGTGGGTGGGTGGGTGGAAGGAAGGGCGGATAGATTCCTGTCACCGTCTCAAAGGCCCAGCTGGCAGAAGCGCAGCACGTTCATCACACTGTGTAGGTGCGACTCCTGCAAGGTGGGGTTGGGTGTGTGAGTGGGTGGTTGGGTGGGTGGGTGGGTGGGCGGGTGGGAGGAAAAGCGGATTGATGTATGCGCGGGGGAATTGGTGGGTAGAGAAACCTGTCATGACTCAAAGGCCCTGCTGGCAGAAGCGCAACACGTCTGTCACACTGTGTAGGTGCGACTCCTGAGGGGGAGCGTGGGTTGGTGGAGGGTGATTGACGGATGGACGAATGGGTGAGTGAGTGGCAGATATGAGACGTGAGTGGCAGATATGAGACGTGAGTGGCAGATATGAGATGTCCCAAACTCCAACTGGCAGAATTCTCACAAGGCGTACACATGTGAAGCAGAGGAGACCTGTGAGTCAACTCAGAACTCACCTCACGCACAACTCAGAAGAGGTATGGGGCTTACAGAGGTGAAGTATAGGCGAGTGCGCACATGGCGCTGGGGCGTTCGAACGTTGGCATACCTGCAGCCAGGCAGCCACGGGGCAAGGGCAAGGCCACACAGCAGCAAGGCCGCTGATTAGTGTCACACGTTCTCATGCGCATTCACAACCAGCTAGGCCAACCTTTCATGCAATCACTTGGGTCGAACCACTACCTCACGTTGCTGTTCCAATATTGCGAAATCTCATCCGACATATTCAATGCACGCACATGCCATTCAATGCACGCACATGTCATTCAATGCACGCACATGTCATTCAATGCACGCACATGTCATTCAATGCACACACATGTCATTCAATGCACGCACGCACATGTCATTCAATGCATGCATGCACATGTCATTCAATGCACGCACATGCCATTCAATGCACACACATGTCATTCAATGCACGCACATGTCATTCAATGCACGCACATGTCATTCAATGCACGCACATGTCATTCAATGCACGCACATGTCATTCAATGCACGCACATGTCATTCAATGCACGCACGCACATGTCATTCAATGCACGCACGCACATGTCATTCAATGCACGCACATGCCATTCAATGCACGCACATGTCATTCAATGCACGCACATGTCATTCAATGAACGCACATGTCATTCAATGCACGCACGCACATGTCATTCAATGCACGCACGCACATGTCATTCAATGCACGCACGCACATGTCATTCAATGCACGCACATGCCATTCAATGCACGCACATGTCATTCAATGCACGCACATGTCATTCAATGCACGCACGCACATGTCATTCGATGCACGCACGCACATGTCATTCAATGCACGCACGCACATGTCATTCAATGCACGCACATGCCATTCAATGCACGCACATGTCATTCAATGCACGCACATGTCATTCAATGCACGCACGCACATGTCATTCGATGCACGCACGCACATGTCATTCAATGCACGCACGCACATGTCATTCAATGCACGCACATGCCATTCAATGCACGCACATGTCATTCAATGCACGCACATGTCATTCAATGCACGCACGCACATGTCATTCAATGCACACACGCACATGTCATTCAATGCACGCACGCACATGTCATTCAATGCACGCACATGCCATTCAATGCACGCACATGTCATTCAATGCACGCACATGTCATTCAATGCACGCACGCACATGTCATTCAATGCACGCACGCACATGTCATTCAATGCACGCACGCATATGTCATTCAATGCACGCACATGTCACTCAATGCACACACATGTCATTCAATGCACACACGCACGTGTCATTCAATGCACGCACGCACATGTCATTCAATGCACGCACGCACACGTCATTCAATGCACGCACGCACATGTCATTCAATGCACGCACGCACATGTCATTCAATGCACGCACATGCCATTCAATGCACGCACATGTCATTCAATCCATGCACATGTCATTCAATGCACGCACGCACATGTCATTCAATGCACGCACGCACATGTCATTCAATGCACGCACGCACATGTCATTCAATGCACACACATGTCATTCAATGCACGCACATGTCATTCAATGCACGCACATGTCATTCAATGCACGCACGCACATGTCATTCAATGCACGCACGCACATGTCATTCAATGCACGTACATGCCATTCAATGCACGCACATGTCATTCAATGCACGCACATGTCATTCAATGCACGCACGCACATGTCATTCAATGCACGCACGCACATGTCATTCAATGCACGTACATGCCATTCAATGCACGCACATGTCATTCAATGCACGCACATGTCATTCAATGCACGCACGCACATGTCATTCAATGCACGCACGCACATGTCATTCAATGCACGCACGCACATGTCATTCAATGCACGCACATGTCATTCAATGCACGCACGCACATGTCATTCAATGCACGCACGCACATGTCATTCAATGCACGCACACACATGTCATTCAATGCACGCACACACATGTCATTCAATGCACGCACATGCCATTCAATGCACGCACATGTCATTCAATGCACGCACATGTCATTCAATGCACGCACGCACATGTCATTCAATGCACGCACGCACATGTCATTCAATGCACGCACGCACATGTCATTCAATGCACGCACATGTCATTCAATGCACGCACGCACATGTCATTCAATGCACGCACGCACATGTCATTCAATGTATGCACATGTCATTCAATGCACGCACACACATGTCATTTAATGCACGCACGCACATGTCATTCAATGTACGCACATGTCATTCACTGCCTGGATCTGGCCAGGCCAGTACTGTGCGTTGCTGCCATCATTGTTAAAATGCCTCAACTCTTCATCATCACCACACTCACTTGGGGTCCAAGCGGTACTGAGCGTTGCTGTCGTCATTGTCCCCTTCTGAGTGCCCATCGGAGCGGCGCTTGGCCTCACCGGACGACCGGCGGTTCTGCCGCTGCTGCTCCTGGTTGAACACCGCTGCCGCCACCGCTGCGGCTCGCTGCTCCCTCAGGCTCTGCCGGTGCTGCTGCATGGCCTGCCCCACCGCCACCGCCTCGTCCCGCGTGTTGTGCAGATCGATCAGCATCTTTCCCAGCAGCCGCCGTGCCACCTGGGGAAGAGAGGGGTGGGAGGGGAGGGACGGAGACTTTAGTGCTGCAGGCACAGGCACGCTCTGGTTGTGTAAATCAATCAGAATCTTTCCCAGCAGTCGCTGTGCCACCTGCCCAGGGAGGAAAGCTGGGAGGGAAAGGGAAAGAAGGGGAGGGGAGGAGGTATGGAGTTGAGAGGCACATGTACTGCCTTGTCCCGTGTGCTGTGCAGATGAATCAGCATCTTGCCTTGCCCAGCAGGCGCCGTGCAAACTAGGGAACTGAGACCTCGGCGGGCAAAACACATGGGCACAAGGAACAGGGGGGCAAGGGACGGGCGGGACTGACCTTGGCCCCGATCTTGAGCTTGCTGTACGGCGTGATGCCGTACTCATTGGGAATGACGCCATTCGCCATCTCCTGGTGGAAGCAACCAGAGAAACAATTTGGCAGCAAGTAAGCAACATGCGGAGTGGAGAGGTGAATATGCACATGGCGCGACTGGCATGACGGGGATGGCAGGAAGATGGCGACGCATGGATGGCATGGGAACCATACGCGATGGGCCAACACGTGAAACATGCAGCATGCAACAGCAGCATGCAACATGCGATACGCAAGTTGCAACCGGAAGCAGGCAAAATGTACGAGTAATGAGCAACATTTAACATTCAAGCATGCAACATGCGACGGGCAAGGAGCGTGCCTTGGCGAGCAGGTAGAGCTCGTCCAGCCCCTTGAGGCCCAGATGCCGATTGTGCACCAGGTCGTACCTGGGGGAGGGACACGTGGGCAGGGGCACCGCACGTGGGGTGTGGGTACAAGTGAGGGACGTGGGGGGGAGCAGAGCAGGTATGCAGAGCAGACAATGCTTTGCATGTGCTGGGAGGGTGCATGTCTGCAGAGACATGCGTGCACGCACGCATGTGTGCGCGTGCATGTGTGTGTGTGTGTGTGTGTGCACGTGAATGTGTGTGTGTGTGTGTGTGTGCGTGCATGTGTGTGTGTGTGTGTGTGCACGTGAATGTGTGTGTGTGTGTGTGTCTGTGTGTGTGTGCACGTGCATGTGTGTGTGTGTTTGCGTGTGTGTGTGTCTGTATGTGTGTGCGCGCACATGTGTGTTTGCATGTGTGTGCACGCCGTGTATGGACAAGACAAGACACAAAGCCACGCACTTGGTACAGTCGTGAGTGTGTGTGAATCTGCGTCTGTGAGTGCAGAGTGTGTGCGTGGGCGTGAGTGCACAAGGCACGGTGCACAAGGCACGGTGCACAAGGCACGGTGCACAAGGCACGGTGCACAAGGCACGGTGCACGGAGCAACGCACTTGGCAGAGTCGTAGACGTCGGGGATCTTGCTGATGTTGAAGCGACTGGAGGAAGGCACAGCGGGATGAGGGCGGAGAAAAGGGGACAGCATGGGGAGGAGAGAGAGCGCTGGTGAGACAGCAAAGAGAAGCGAAGAACAGAGCACGGCAGGGCTGAGTTGTCCCCATCGCTCCGTTGCCCCTTTCACCACCCACCCTCTTTTCGTCGGAGCTGCCACAGAGGTCCGTTAAAAAAATGCCTATTGCCCCAACCCACCCACATTCGTTCCACCCCACTCACACTCACTCCCTCCTACACACTCCATCCCTCCTACACACCCCATCCATCCCTCCCACACACACTCCCCCTCCCCCACCACACTCACTCCTTTCGCGGATTGTAAATATCGCGCTCAAGCTTCTTCCACCGCGCAAAGATGAGCAGAAACTCCTCCGTACCGCACGGCAGCCCGGCGGCAATGCGGCTCTCATCAAACCGTGCCTTCCCCAGCACCGTGCCATCATACGGCACCGCCTTCTGTTTCCCTCCCCCCTGCTGCTGCGCCCCGCCCTGCTGCTCCCCCGCACCCTTCTGCTGCTGCTCCCCCGCCCCGGCCTTGTGCTGTGGCGGCACGGGCACGATGCGAAGCTTCTTGACAGCTTCCTCGACCTTGGCCTCCAGTGCGCCGTCCACGTCGTCCTCTCGGCACTTCTCCTTGGCGTGTGCTGCCAGCGCCTTTATCAGCTCCACCTGGGGGAGGGAGAGAGGAGGGGGGGAAGGGGGTGCAAAAGCGTTATTTGAGACGACTCAAAAGCCGTCCACGTCGTCCTCTCTGCACTTCTCCTTGGCGTGCGCTGCCAGCGCCTTTATCAGCTCCACCTGCGAGGGGAGGAGCAGGGGTGGGCGCAAAGAGTGGGACAAGTGAAACATGACAGCATCGAGCGAGAGTGGGCAGCAGAGACGCATGCACGCACACACATCCCCCCACCCCTCCCCCTCCCAACATCACGCACACCCACACCACTCGCACCCACATTCCCAACCCAACCCCCACCTCCATCCCCACCCACCAACACCCAGCACCAGCTTCTCCCGCCACCCCCTCACACAACACATGCACCAGCTTGTGCAGCTTGCCGAGAGGCTGCTAAGGCAGCCAGGGCGCATCAGTCATCATCCGCACACAAGCGGGTGCGACCCACACACACACAAGGGCACATGCACACACGCACACACGCACCCAACCCCCCACCCCTCTTCCCCCCTCCAACCCACACACACCCACCAGCTTGTGCAGCTTGCTGAGGGGGCGGTCAGGAAGCCAGGGCGCGTCTGTCATCCACGGGCCAGCCAGCTGCGCTGACGACCCGCCGTGGCTGCTGCTGCTGCTGCTGCGCGAGTGCGAGCGCGACTGAGAGGGCCGGCGCGGGCTGAGAGCCGCGGGGGGCTGGCCGTGCGTGGGCGAGAGCACAGGCGGGTCGTTGGTCGTCATCATCTCACCCAGCTTGCGCTGTGGGGGGGAAGGGGAAGAGGGAGGGAAGGAGCGGGGGGGTAAGGAGTGGAATGAGGGCTCTGCGAGTCGCATGCATGGGTGGTTCTAGGTGAGATCATGGGCGGGTCGCTGGTCGTCATCATCTCGCCCAGCTTGCGCTGTGGGGGGGAGAAGGGAAAAGAGCGTGGACAGGAGTTGGTTGGAAGGGATGAAAGATAAAAGAGAGAGTAGGTTAGGTCTGTGCAGGCTCATGCAAGGCTGCTTGCTTCTAGGTGATAGCAAGTGGATGGGGGCCCATGGGTGGTTGGTGGTCTATCTTGAGCTGTGGTGAGGGGGGGAGGGAGAAAGGATTGGGAGAAGAGACGAAAACACAGGCAGATACTCGGAAACACTGACGAAACATGAGAGGACGAGGTGGCTGGGAAGATGATAGGAGCATAACGGACTGATAGAGCTTAGGTGATGTCGTTAATGAGACTAGCTTAGAGTAGCGCAGCGGAAAGGATTCTGAAACATCAATCGAATGCATGAGTGTAGCGACTCAATGGACTCTCACCTTGGCATGCTCCATTTCAATGGAGGCGGAGTCGAGCCCGTCAAGCATGGGCGAGTCCTTGCTCACCAGACTAACCTGCATGGTCACACATGAGCACACGCACGTGGATGCATACATGCACACATAGATGTGTGCGCACACATGCAATGGCCCATGGATAAAGTTGCAATGCAACAGTGCAGAGAGAAGCACCGTGCGGAAACTAGAGAGGAGACGAAGTTGTGGTAAGTGAAGGTTGTGGAATGGAGAGTGTAAATAGAGAGTGCGAAAGTGCAGGCGTGCAATGGAGGGGGAGTGGTGCCCACCAGGATAGGCGTGAGCTGCCCCTCCAGGTCCAACAGACCTTTGATGAACGCTGCTGCTGACATCTGCACACGCAGGCAGGGAGGCAGGGAGGAACGCATGAGGCGGAAAATGCGAGAGAGGTGGCACCAACAGTTCTAGTAGCTGCCCCTCCAGGTCCAGCAGCCCCTTGGTGAACGCTGCTGCTGACATCTGTACAGAAAGGCAAGGCAGGAGGCATGCACACACAAGGGGCACGAACCGTTTTACTAGCTGCTTATTTGAACGGGCCCTCTGTTAGTTTCGAGGTTGCCAACGCCCCCACCCCACCTGGTTGCCTCGGTCAATTGACCCCACCTGGTTGCCTCGGTCAATTGACCCCACCTGGTTGCCTCGGTCAATTGACCCCACCTGGTTGCCTCGGTCAATTGACCCCACCTGGTTGCCTCGGTCAATTGACCCCACCTGGTTGCCTCGGTCAATTGACCCCACCTGGTTGCCTCGGTCAACTGACCCCACCTGGTTGCCTCGGTCAATTGACCCCACTAATCGAGCCTGATGAGTGCTGGCGAGCCTGATGAGTGCGCCCACCTGCACTGAGCGCCCACCTGCACTGAGCGCCCCACCTGCACTGAGCGCCCCACCTGCACTGAGCGCCCACCTGCACTGAGCGCCCACCTGCACTGAGCGCCCACCTGCACTGAGCGCCCACCTGCACTGAGCGCCCACCTGCACTGAGCGCCCACCTGCACTGAGCGCCCACCTGCACTGAGCGCCCACCTGCACTGAGCGCCCACCTGCACTGAGCGCCCACCTGCACTGAGCGCCCACCTGCACTGAGCGCCCACCTGCACTGAGCGCCCACCTGCACTGAGCGCCCACCTGCACTGAGCGCCCACCTGCACTGAGCGCCCACCTGCACTGAGCGCCCACCTGCACTGAGCGCCCACCTGCACTGAGCGCCCACCTGCACTGAGCGCCCACCTGCACGCGGCCCTCATCGGAGCTGTAGATCTTGAGATCGTGGCGGTACGTGCTGTGCAGCCGCAGCAGCCCTGTTCCATTCGACCCCATTTCGTCTGCCAAGATTCACAAGGGGCGAGGAGAGAGGAAGGGTGCAAGGGGAAGTGAGCGGGAAAGGCAGAGGAGAGGGCGATGTGAAAGAGGGGGGAGGGGGGAGGTGGGAGGGGGGACTGGGGAGGGGGGAAGGAAAGGCAGGGAGGAGGGCAAGAGGCGCATGAATTGCGGGCCCGCTTTCCATCACCCCGCCCCATTCTCCCGCTTTCCATCACCCCTCCCCATTCTCCCTCCTTCCATCACTCCGCCCCATTCTCCCGCTTTCCATCACCCTGCCCTATTCTCCCACTTTCCATCATCCCCCCCCCTAAGCTCTTCTAAGGGTGACCATTAGAAGAGCTTAGGGTGCGTGCATGCCATGTGCTCTTGGAAGTGCTGCATGGTTCACCACGTTACACACATCATAAAGCCAAAGACGTGTGAGGCCAGGCCAACCGTCAAGCAGTTGCACGTCCATGCATTAGTCAAGTTTGCATGTATGCACTACATGATCCAGCAAGCACGAACTTACGCCCATAGCATGTTGCCTGGCCGTAGCAACATGCATGCCCTTACCAGGATACATGGCTTCTCGAAATGCTCGACCCAGATGCTCCGCCTGATGAGTGGCAGTAAGGAAGGAAGGGGGAGGGGAGGTGAGGGGAGGGGAAGGGGGGTGTTGAGGAGGACGGAAGAAGAGGGAACAGGAAGAAGGTTACACAGTTAGTTGGTTGTTTCGCAAAAGAAAAGCGCAGTCAGAGTGAGGGTGAGAGAATGGACGCGCTTCAGCTGTGTGCCTCACAGGGACGCGCTTCAGCTGTGTGCCTCACAGGGACGCGCTTCAGCTGTGTGCCTCACAGGGACGCGCTTCAGCTGTGTGCCTCACAGGGGACTCAACACAGACTCATTCACCTGCTGCCTGCCTCCCCACCTGCTGCCTGCCTCCCCTCCCCACCTGCTGCCTGCCTCCCCACCTGCTGCCTGCCATGCCACCGCACCTACCCTGTTCACCAGCATCAGCGACTACTTCACCTGCTGTCTGCCAGCATGCGTGAGCACGCCGCCGTACTTGAGCACCATAAGGGCCTCCGTGGGTTCGTCCACCTCCACCTCGCCGCCACTGCTGTTCAGACCTCTTAACAGCGACACAGATTCATTCACCTGCTGCCTGCCTTACCCCCACCTGCTGCCTGCCTTACCCCCACCTGCTGCCTGCCTTCCCCCCACCTGCTGCCTGTTATTCACCGGTATGAGCGTGTGCGGGCACCACACCTGCTGAAAACTGGCACAGCCGTGGGTGAGGATCCCACCTGTGCCCTGCCAGCGTGGGTGAGCACGCCGCCGTATTTGAGCACCATGAGGGCCTCCGTGGGCTCGTCCACCTCCACCTCGCCCCCACTGCTGTCCCTCCGCTGCACACGCTCCCACTTCTGCGGCTTCAGCTGCGCCTTGCGGTATATGCCCGAGAAGTGCCCTCCCTGTGCGTGGGGGGGATGGCATAGGAGCAGCAAGTGGAGGAGGAGGAGGAGGAGGAGGAGGAGGAGGAGGAGGAGGAGGAGGAGGAGGAGGAGGAGGAGGAGGAGGAGGAGGAGGAGGAGGAGGAGGAGGAGGAGGAGGAGGAGGAGGGGGAGGGGGGGGTCAGAGCGTATGCACACGAGGGTGTTTCTTTGAATATAAATCCAGCAGCATGCATTGCCTCGCTTCCTCCACTCCTGTGTTGACACAATGATACTCATGAGCAAGCTCAGGACCAACACTGAAAGCGCGCAGCAGCATCCTCACCTCCTCCAGCACGGCCTCACCTCCTCCAGCACGGCCTTCACGTGCCTCAGCTTCTCCGCATTCTCAAAGTCCTCTGTCTCGCTGTCACTGCCGTCCCTGCTACCGCAGCAATGTTTGGGCAAGGAGAAGAGGGCAAACAGCAGCATGTGCAGCGCAGTGAGAGGAGGAGTGAGTAGGTTGCATGGATCGGTGGTGCTGGAACATTGGAGTGAAGAGGACCTTGTACGCAGGTTGTAAACAAACCCTCAATGCTGATCCAAGTGCAAAACCCAATTTCCTGCCAGATGACGAGAGCAACCACCCACCTCTGATGCAACGCCCACCTTTCTAACGGCTAACCAGCAAGGGGTAACAGGTAAGAGCAAGGAGCCCTCCCACCCACCTCTGATGTGGCACAAGTGCGCGCAGGGCGTCCAGCAGGTCCTGCAGCTGCACGGCACTCTTCAGCTTCGCCTGGCGGGCAGGGGAGGAGGGCAGTGGGGGGGGCGGGGAGGGGCCGAGCATACAGAGGGAAGGGAGGGGCCGAGCATACAGAGGGAAGGGAGGGGCCGAGCATACAGAGGGAAGGGAGGGGAAACAAGTTGTTGAGAAGAAAGAGCAGACTTTCACACTTGCTGGGCAGAGGGAAGAAGCGGATGGCACAGAGGGCAGAGCAAGGGAGTGCAGCAAGCAGGTCTCCACCAGGGACTGCACTCATTGGCTTTGAATTGCGTGGTTTGTGCACGCACCCATGCGCCCATGTGCCCAAGTGCCCACGTGACCGTGTGTCGTCCTTACGCTCACTTCACTCACCCCCTAGCTGAATGAGTCAACGGAATGGCATGGCAAGGGCAGTGCCAAGCTGCGAGACACCACCACTTTCCTTCACACCTCCCACAGCGCTCACCGGCCTGCCTGCCCTCCTAATATCTCACACGCCTGCCTGGCCACCGCAGTACCTCAGAGCGGGGCTTGCCGCCGTTGTATTTGAGCATGAGCTTCAGCAGCCGCTCCTGCGTCACCACCAGCTTCACCTTCTGCTTTGGCGTGCGGTCACCACTGCCCATGGGGGAGGGCCGACAAGGGAGGGAGCGCGGGGAGGACAAGGAGAATGTGTCAAGACTCGTTCTTTGTCAAGTCCTCCTTCCCACCAAACCTCAAACATTCTGCAACGATGCACAAAGTATCACTCCACCGGACTCACCAGCAAAAACCATCCCAGCAGCACCCACTGGCCCCACTCACTGGCGGATGACGGCAATGACGCAGCGCAGCTCCTCCCGCGTGCCGAACGTGTGAACGCTGTTGAAGCTGCTCACGCTGGTGAGCGTGCGCTCGTAATCCGGCGATGTCGTGCCGTCCACTGCTGCTGCGTCGGGTCCGGAGGACCACGGCAGGCGCACGGGGAGAGGCGAGTAGAGGTGCGGAGCCACGGCGCGCAGCAGCATGCTTCGTAACACACACGCTGCATCGTCGTAGTACCTGCATGCAGGCATCGGGGGTTGAGAGGGAAGTGGGGGAAGAGGGGCACGACTGGTTGGCTTAATTTCACAGAGGAGGGATGAACGAAGCAACAGCAGCATGCTGCGCAGCACACATGCTGCATCGCCGTAGTACCTGCAGTGCACGGCACGCAGGCAGGGGGCGAGGCCCGAGGGATGGTAGGCAGATTTCACAGAGAGGACGCCGAGAGTGCGGTGACTGGCTTAATGACAGGGCGCAAAAGAAGTGGTTGAAAATTCAACAAATTACGAGTCATGATGAAAATGCCTCGATCGATGGTTGCTTCTCCTTTTCCAGAAATCGAGCTGTGAAACTGTGGTTGGTTGCTGTTTCAACTCTCTAGATAGTAGCCTGATCTGATACCGCCATTGGCACAGAGAGAGCTCAGTGGTCACTTGGTGGAGTTCTTAACAAAGCTATAACCCTTCACATCTCACACAACTGAGGTGACTTTTTTCAGTCTGACTCAAAAGTCACATCCAGCTGATACAACAACCAACCCACCCACCAACCAGCCCAGCGGAAAGGACCTCACTTGGTGGAGTTCTTGACAAAGCTCCAGCCGTTGACATCGCACACGAAGGAGCGGCCGTGCGATCGCAGCAGGTCAAAGCCACACACCTGGCGGGCAAAAGGTGCGCGAGACATGCGGGTGAGGGAAGGGAAGAGGCAACAGTGAGCGCCAAGGACTCTGGGGTGGGAACAGAGAGGCGCACCCATAATGGGCGAAGAAAGAGTGTATGGTAAATGATGCTGTCACGGAACAAGAGGTGGGATGGCAAACAGATCACACTGCGAGCTACATGACTCACAGCCTGGCTGAAGGCAAGACAGATGACTCACAGCCTGGCCGAAGGCAAGACAGATGACTCACAGCCTGGCAAAAGGCAAGACAGATGACTTACAGCCTGGCCGAAGGCAAGACAGATGACTCACAGCCTGGCCGAAGGCAAGACAGATGACTCACAGCCTGGCCGAAGGCAAGACAGATGACTCACAGCCTGGCCGAAGGCAAGGCAGATGACTCACAGCCTGGCCGAAGGCAAGACAGATGACTCACAGCCTGGCCGAAGGCAAGACAGATGACTCACAGCCTGGCCGAAGGCAAGACAGATGACTCGTGCCATCTCCTTCTCCGTTGGGGTGAGCAGCACCGGGTAGCGGATCTGGCAGAGATGCAGGGGGGAGAGGGGCGAGCTATTCTTGGTCGTGAAGAGTGATGAGAGAGCGGTGGATGGCAGGGATAGAGAGTTGTGCATGCATGGCCCAAGCAAGCAAGATGCGAATATGCTTGAGCGTGGCGCAAGATACAGGGTCAGGAGAGAAGCGGTGTTAGATATCAAATGCGCGGAACAGGAGAGACCAGTGTGGTGCTTTGAGTGGGTCGTCCCAGTGCCTCCAGCTACGATCAGAGTAACATCTTAAAGAAAATGTTTGAATGCTGACGGCAGGATGTTCCATTCTGACTGCTGAACGCTATATCTGACGGATGTGCTGAACGCTATATCTGACGGATGTGCTGAACCCTGTCTGTCTGCTGACTGTTGCCTCTCTGCCAGCCGTGTGCAGCCTATTGGGTGAATCTATCCGAACCAAGTGACCATCAGTACGAAATTTCCTTGAAGAATGGCCTCACCTCCTTGCCCTTCTGCACAAGTGAATGGGAACGTGAGATGAGCTGGCTCACAGTAACCAAACAGGCCATCCATGGGAAGAGCTACATACACAGCCAGCCCCAGCCAACCTCTTCCCCCCCCCTCCCTTCCAGGGCGCACCTCCTTGCCGTCGGCGCTGCGCATGACGACGCCGTCCACCACGGGTGACTTGCGTGCCTCTGCATGCGCATAGTCCGGCCCCACCGTGTACACCTTCACGTCCGTGCCCCCTGGCAGATGCATCATGAATTGCACACATGATCATGGAAGAATGGAAAGATTTGAGCAATGCTTTTGAGTTGAGTCAAGATTCACCAGCGACTTGCGCGCCTCTGCATGAGCATAGTCCAGCCCCACCGTGTACACCTTCACATCCGTGCCCTCTGCCCATCGCATCATGGTGATGCCAGCCAACCAAACATCATGGTGGCATGCGCACGCTCACGCACACGCAAATGCACATGCACATTGTGATTGCACATGCACATTGTGATTGCACACATGGCCATGGAAACAAAGAGTACTGAGCAAGGAACGCACGGACCACGGTGTATTTCAACATGCAAGATGCAAGAACGAACGAAGATGAAGAGCAGGGGGGGAGACAGTGGCTGTTTGCCGACATGCATTGCAGTTTATTGCATGCTACTGGTGTTTACTACGTACTGCATAGTTCTCTAACCTGGAGCTTCACTATTCTGTCGGTAACAACCATGCATCATCACGCCGTAAGTGAGGGCAGAAAATGACAAAGTTGTGGGCGGCAAAGAGCGCACCTGTGGGAAGGAATTCCTCAAGGATGTAAAAGCCATGGTGCCTCACATGGCGCAGCTAGGAAATGGACGGATGGATTCGATCGGCAGCAGCAAGCTCCTAGTGGTAGATCTAATGCTAGCGCTGAGAGCTTGCCTGTGGGGAGGAACTCCTCATAGATGTAGGAGCCGTGGCGCCTCACATGGCGCACGTCCGGGTGGAACTCACTGGAGCGGTTGCCCACCTTCCAAAAGGGGTGAGAGAGATGGGAGAAAATCAGGGTGGTGCGAATGCGAGGTCAGGTGAGGCGAGTGGGATGTAGGAGCCGTGGCGCCTCACATGGCGCACATCCGGGTGGAACTCACTGGAGCGGTTGCCCACCTTCCAGGAGAGGCGAGAGATGGCAGAGCGGAGAGAGAGGTGGTGGTACTGGGAGATGAGGCCAGGCCCAAGGAATGGAAAAGACAGAAATTACAAAACCGAGTGCAATGAGGCACAGGTAGATAGAGGCACGGTTTTTGAGAATTCTAAGAATAAGTATAAGAGCAGAGCAGCAACAAGTGCAGTGCTGCTTGCTTTCCCGCCCATGCAATGCATTGCACGAGGCGAGGCGGTACCTTCCTGAAGAGCTCTTTCATGCCGCCCCCTGCGGAGCTGGGGTAGTAAATCATCACACTGTGGTCGTCGCCTGGTGGTGCGCCCGCGCACGCATGGAGTGCATGGGAAGAGGGGAGGGGGTGTGGAGAATCAAGGATGGGAGAGCAGGGAAAGAGGGGTGTGGCGGGGAGGAGTTGAGGATGGGGGGGGGAAAGACAGATGAGCTGGCTACCTCACGCGTATGAGATGGCTCGATTACTAAACCAGCTGTTCCAGGGAGGGGAAACGATCCCTGGGGAGAAGCAGCATTCACAGGCCCATGAACCCCCCACAGCGAGCGCCCATGCGCCCACCATCAACGGGCTTCTCCACAAAGGGCTTGTTGATGCGCTTGCCCGCGATGACCACGTAGTCCTCCTCCTCCTCAAACTCCTCCTCCGCTCCCTCCCCCTCGCCCTCGCGGTTCACTATGGCGTACGTGGGCATCATCAGCCCGTGCTCCTCCAGCTTCTGGTAAAGGGGAGGGGGGGTTGGGGGGGACGGGGTGGGGGAGGGAGTGGGGCGAGTGGGCAGAGAGGGGGCAGTCCGGACCTTCTTCTCCCTCCCCCCCACGGTTGTTCACTATGGCGTACGTGGGCATCATCAGCCCGTGCTCCTCCAGCTTCTGGTAAAGGGGGGGTGTAAATGGTTGGTTGGGGCGAAGAAGGCCGAGCGGGGGGGTGAGCAAACGGCGGGATGGGGAAAAGGGTTCGGGGCATCATGAGTTGGCCGTGGAGGGGGGAAGAGTCCACAAGCTTCTGCTGCCTCGGACCGTGGTACTAGCAGAGGACCGGAAACAGCACCGTACACTCGCACGCACTCTTGTGCACTCGCACTCACCGCGTACACCTTCCTCCTGTCATGCAGCAGCCACTGCGGCTCCAACTCGTTCACCAGATAAGGCCTGCCGTGCAGGAGCAGCGCGAGAAGGGCGGGGAGAGATGGGAGGGAAGGGAGGGATGGGATAGATGGGAGAGAGGGAGAGTGGGAGAGTGGGAGAGAGACAAAGGAGCAATGGAAAAAATGCGAGTTGAAGGAAGTCACAATAGACTGCAATGGGAACGAAAGTACATGGGAAGAAAGCACAATATCCCCATTGCCAGAACACTCACCAAAGAGAATCGTTTGCTCGACGGGCTGTGCTCATGCTGCTGCCACGTGCGCACAGCTGCACATGGCAACACACACATGTACTTTCTCCGGAGGGCACGTACTAGCACTGGGCAGTGCGCAGTGGGCAGTGGGCAGCGGGCACATACTTGCGCAGGGCGGCGTATTGCTGCGCCTTGGCGAGAGGGAAGCCCGTGGAGTAGAAGGCGATTAGCGCATCGCATATGGGCCACCTGGTTTTGCATTGGGGGGGCATGGGGGGGAGATGGGGGACGCATGGGGGGAGGCATGGGGGGAGGCATGGGGGACGGCATGGGGGGAGGGAGACATGGGGGGATGCATGGGGAGAGGCATGGTTGGAGGCATGAGGGGAGGCATGGGGAGAGGCATGGTTGGAGGGAGGCATAGGGGGGAGCATGGGGGGAGGCATGGGGGGGACATATAGTGACGCGAGAAGGGATAGAGTGAAGCGAGGAAGCATGCAGTGAGGCGAGGAGGCATGCAGTGCGGTGAGGAGGCATGGCTCACTTCTCGATGGGGTCGTGGAGGATCATGCGGTCTTCGAATATAATCACCTGGTTCCAACGCACATGGGAGCGCATGATTCGGCAAGCAAGGCATGGCAGAAGTTGATGGGGAAGGCAAGGCATGGCAGAAGCGGCATGAGCATGAGGAGAAGAAGGAATGGATGGAGTCTGAATGCAAGCAGGGCGGCGTGCTGTGAGGAGAAGAATAAAACTCAAGCTTCACATCCCCTCTCCACGTTTCTCCCCCCTACCTCCCCCTCCCATGTCTCACCTCCCCCAGGTCTCACCTCCACCTCGCCTCACCTCCCCCAGGTCTCACCTCCACCTCGCCTCACCTCCCCCAGGTCTCACCTCCACCTCGCCTCAACTCCCCCAGGTCTCACCTCCACCTCGCCTCACCTCCCCCAGGTCTCACCTCCACCTCGCCTCACCTCCCCCAGGTCTCACCTCCACCTCGCCTCACCTCCCGCAGATCTCACCTCCCCCAGGCCTCACCTCCACCTCGCCGAACATGCGCAGGCGGTCAAGAATTGCCGTCATGGGGGACGAGCGCGACTGCAGGGGGGGTGGCGCAAGGGATGGGGGGGGTAGCGAGGACAGGATGTGGCACAACGATTAGAAATTAACGACCCCAGGCGGTCAAGAATGGCCGTCAGGGGGACGAAAGCGACTGCAGGGGGGGATGGCGGAAGGGGGGGGTGGAGTGGATGAAGGAAGGGGGGGGGAAACGGGGGCTGGAGTTGGCAGGTCGAGCAGGGGGCTTATGGGGAATGACCGGGACTGCAAGGGGCGTGGTACAATGGGGGTGGCCAAACGGGGATGGTGGAAGCGGGGCGGAAGGGGATGGGGGGAATTGGATGATGGAAGAGGAACGGCTGAGGGGAGGGGGGCAAGAAAGGGCGCAGGAGCCGGAAGCCAGGTCGACGTGCGACCCAAGCCATGGAAGGGTGATGGAACGTGTAGCGACGGCTGATCCGTCCGCCTACCTTCTTCTCCATCACGGACCTCTGCATCCTACGCCCCCACTCTCCCCCGTCCGCCTACCTTCTTCTCCATAACGCACACGCCCAGCGTGAGCTTTTTCTTCTCCTCGACCGCGTCGCTCGCGAGGCTCTCAAACGCGCCGCCACCCGAGTGCCCCACGCGGATCGACGGCAGCACCATCTCCTCCATCGCCACCGTTGCGCGCACCACCGTCGCGACTGTTATTGACCGCTATAAACCGCTACAACCGCACCCCGACCGTTATTGACCGCTACTAAAGGTTACAACTATCCCTACCGCTATGCCCGTCACCGCCGTCGTGCTTCAATGCAACGGGCCCTCTGCGGCTGGATAAATCCGAATCTGAATGTCACACGCGAGGCAGGCTATCATAGCCTGATATTGTGAGGCACTCGCATGTGTGGAGCTTCAGGAATGCCACGAGTAGATCCAAACGTCGAGTGGGAGATAGACTGCTGCAGTGAAGCTCAACCAGACGATGACTTCAGCGAAGGGACAAGCTTGGTTGGTCGGGGTAAGGGCGCGTAACCATTTTGCACCCGACGGTTCGAGCCGTGGACCGTCCGGGTGGCGAGACGGTAACAAAATTCGCACAATGTCGTTATTGTGTTCGCAAATGTGTTGGCGACGTCGCCAGCAAAACGGACTGTGGTGACACTTTTTCCCCACTTTCAACGCTCCGAAATCTGAACTGCGGACAGTCCGAATCCCAAACGGACTGTCCGACAGTCCTTGCATACGATTGGAGGGCGACGCAAAAACCGTCGAGTCAACTCGTCCACCAACAAAAACGTACGAGGCTACTTCACGAATCGACATTGACCAACCAGAGACAACCCATAAACAAAAATTATTCGATAACGACATTTGTGAGATTGAGTGAGTTGCGTAACGCTTGTACAGTGATCGCGAAACTGTACATTAGGAAAAAAGTGTCACAACTGTCTTCGGACAGTCCGAAGTTGCAAAAAAAACAGTCGGACGGTCCCGTTCTCGATAAGTGGACCCTCCACTTCGTTTTAAGCGGACTGTCCGTCAAAATCGTAAAATGCAAAATGGTTACGCGCCCTAATCCTGGGGCTGGTTCCTTGGATAAGGACTCCGACTTTCGTTTCGTCGTGGTCGTGTAACCGTGATGAGACAGTTCGTCAAATTCGTTCGTGATCCGCCTAATTCCAACTGACAGGTTTCGTAACATGCTGGACTGCCACCCAATGGCGAATCTTTCGCAAGTCTGCTTTTGAAGAGGAAATAACAAATCTGGACCATTTGGTAGCAGGGGATGATCAAGGACCAACAAACCAAACCTGGACTAGACGTGGGCCCAATCTAGTTTGGTTGGCTCTCATCTGATCGGGTCGGATATGATCGGGTTGCTTATTATCGCATTGCCCGAGCCGCCCGATCAGAGATGTGTTTCGGAGAAGATTCCCAACGCTTGTAGAGCAGACGCGATACTATAACCTGACATTTTTGTCCCAAATCTAGCGAGAGTGGCGACCAGACGTTACCTGGCGAAAATATTTGTTTCCCTATAATAACGTAAACCCCACTCCACACATGTATGAGCGAAGTGTTTACCAGAACCAGCACAACAGTGTAACATTTCGCAATCATCGCTACGGTCCCCGATCACATGCAATCAAGTGATCGAGGGTGATTGAGCCGAATCCTATTTGATTCGTGTGAAAATCGGCTCTGATCGAGTTGGGGCAATCAGTTGATCGTGATTAGCTGATTGCCCCCGATTGCGTGAAATTGGCTTCATGGCTTCCTGGAAGTTGTTGATCGCCTCTGATCGAGGCGATCAAGCTCGATTGAGCCCATACATTAACCGGTTGCCCCAATGTTCATAAAAAAAACCCTGTGCCAAGTTTGGACGAATTTCGATTTCCATTGTCTTCGCGTAAAAGAATCTGGAGCCAATTTGGAGTGACGGTTACAGTCATTTCATATGAGCTCCGAGACACATCTCGCGACAAGGTTTGGCTCGAGTCAAGTTTCAATTTGGCACGCCAGCTTTTCTGGATGACATTCGAGTGCAATCCGTTTTGGTGCAAATTCGTGACCAGATTATTAAAAAATACTCAATGCTTTTGTTCATTTTGGATATTGAGGATTTCAAAATTAAATTTATTCATTCTAGGTTACAACAACCATTATTCAGCATTCTAGCAACAAGCAGTCTAAGCACCAGGTCAAATAGCCTACGCACTGCCGAGCATTGCAAGCGCCCGGTGGACAAGGACGACCTCTCAAAGGTCGTCATCGTTGATGAGGAACTTGTTCGGGAAGACGAACACACCCATAGCCGGATCGTGGGGGGTTCTCCGCTCCACGACAGCAAAGTGGATCATCTGTTTGACATTTTCGCACCACTCCAAGTAGTCTGGCCTGTTTTGTTCCGGCTGGCTACTAATTCGCTTGCAACGCTTATCCTACGGAAGGGGCCATTCAATCTGCAATGTGGTGTAGGGTTGGGTGGATGGTTTATGAGGGGGGGTTACGGGTAAAGGAGCCAACTGAAAGCAAGGATCCAGTCGTCACTATCTACGTAACTGCAAAGGCTTGGATTGACCAAGTATTTAGCTGAAGAACAAGCAAGGGGTTAAGGGGATGAGGCATGCGGGTACAAACACATATCTACATCTTTACCGGAAACAGGCCCCATGCCACCATGCGGCTCTTGAACTTGGTGAACACGACCTCGCCCCTCTTGAAGAAGAGCTTGAATGCATAAGCGAACAAGGGGTTGCTGAAGGGCGTCTCGGTGGCCTTGTCAAAGTGACAGTTGAGGGCCCAGTGTTCTGCATTTTGGCAGGGAGGGTATGGGTTGGAAAGGGGGTGTAGAGAAATCAAGTGGGTGGATGAGAGTCAGGGTGAACCACATCGCACGGTGATATGTAACTGCTAACTGGCATATGGTGGGGCATATGGTGTTTTCGAGTTGCACATACCATCTCTGTACTCGGCTAGGAGTTGCTCGTCGTCAAACCACCTCGTTGGGTGTAGCTTAGTGGGCAGGCTATCCACGAGATGGTTGAAATCGGCAAGGCCTATGCCGGTGTATGCTGCTGGCTTGAGGGTGGAGTTGATAGTTGACCTTGTTGACGATATCTGGTGGTTGAAGACTCCCATGGTTGACTTGTCATTGTGCAACCACATCAGCTTCATTGACTCAAGCCCTTCTGCGGACAAGTGGACTGAGAACGCATCGAACACTTCCTCGGGTGCAGGGTAGTACTGTATTTTTTCCGGCGGGTTCAGAATATGAGCTGTAAACACACTAAGTAGGCTTTGTTCTGCATAGGGGTGTAGGGTATACAACACGACATGGGAGAGAGAAACCAGCAGTTATGATTGTGGCCGCGTGACCACAGGATCGTGATTAGCAACACTTTGTAAACTTGCCACGTCACACCCTCCTTGCCCCCCCCACAATTACCACAACCCGCCCCACTTGCCACGCCACACCCCCCCGCCCCAAGCCACGTCACCCCCCACCCACCTGACACGTGTCGCCTCGTCATGCGCCGCTCCCGTGTACCCTTTCAAACCGCCACGACATCCCCAACCCTCACCTTCCGCCACGTCACACCATTTTGCATCAGCCACGTCCACCAACAACCCGCACAACTTGCCACATCACACCCCCCCCATCCCAAGCCACGTCACCCCCCACCCACCTGACATGCGTCGCCTCGTCATGCGCCGCTAGTACCCTTTCAAACCGCCCCATCATCCCCAACCCCACCTTGGCTGCCATGTCAACCCCAGCCCACCCCATTTAGCCCGCCACATACCGGGAATGTGTTTGTCTCCTGCAACACAAGCACTTGTGCCTTGTCCACGGCACTCATCGGCAGCGGGGTACTAGCCATAGGCACCACTGCGGACCCCCCGGCAACACTGGCAGGTGCTCCACGACGCAGGCTGATCTGAGCAAACATGTCATACATCTCATACCGTAGCGCCTGGAACTCCTCCCGTGCTCCGCACTTTCACCTAGGGCACCCATGAGATAGGGAAAAGGGTGTGGAAAGAGCTGAGACGGGTTTGGATAGTGCAGGAATAGGAGGGAGAGAGACAGGCGGTCAGGGATCTGATGGCCGGGCGCTCCAATGTGAGAGCACAGGCGGGTCATTGGTCGACACCATGTCGCCCAGCTTGCTCTGTGGGGTAGAGGGGGAGGAGGAGTACTGCTCTGTGTTGAAATGTATTTGTATACATTCATATAAATGCCTATAGTAGCCTAGTGTAGTTATCTTAGTTTCCTGCTAGGTGGTGTACCATTTGCCTAATTCCTTGCCTATATCTTGTATGCCCTCTACTATTGAACTCCACTTTTTGGCTTGCACTTTTCCTCTCGTCACTCATGCCTAGGTCAAACCCTAGGCCCCTCAACTATTATGTTTGACATGGTACAGAGCACGTGACATCCTGGCCCGCTGTTTTTAACTACCCCATGGGCCCACCGCGTATTTCTCGTTTCGTGGCGCCCGTCGCAGCCTTAGTTGTGACTGACGTGACGGGCGCGACGACGAGCTGTCTGCTCAAATGGCGACGAGCTGGGCGGCTCCTGCTGCCCCGTTGCTCCTTTGCCCTGTCACCCGCCCCATCCCGATCTGCCCCGCCCCTCGCCCGTTACGAGCTGCCACAGCCACACGCAGCCGCGCGCAGCTGCGTACGGCCGCGTGAAGCCGCGCGCAGCCACGTATGGCTGCGCGCTACTGCGCAGCTCCCCTGCCCCGCACGTGCTGCTCGTGCGCCAGTGAAAAGGGGGGGGGAGGGTGTGGGGTTGGCGCGTGGGTGACACAGCTCCTGCCGCCGCTGTTCGCCTTTTCCTCCCTCTCACTGCTGCTCGTGCACCCGTGGGGGGAGGGGGAGTGTGAGGGGGTGGCGAGAGAGATTATGCATAGCCAACAGCCGCCCCTCCTCTCTCTCTCACTACCGCTCGTGCTGTTGTGGGGGGGAGGGTAAGAGAGGGTGGTGGAATATAGTCACAAAATTGCAGCTGCAACCCGCTGCTACCGTGGCACCTCCTGCTGCCGCCCCTGCTGCCACCTGCCTTTGTTTCTGCTACCTGCTGCTAGGGCCTGCAGGTGCTGCCGTCGAGCCGCTGCTGTCCTGCTGCACGTTGCAGCCACAGAGCCTGTTCC